CATGCACCCCCGGGAAAATTTTGATTTTCGAAGTCTGAAATGGCCATTTCCTGCGATTTCACGGTGAAATTCATGCAAAGAAAGCTACAAAAAAGTGTGATATAAAGAGGAAAATTCTTAATACTTTTTGTTTTTGAAATTTGTATTTCCACAAAATTTAATTTTATTTCACTATATATTTAAACTTATCTGCAAATGACGCTCAATATAGCCAATATTGGCAGAAGAAAGAGGATAATATTGTATGTGTACATTTTAATGCCCTGCTGAGTGCTGTAATATGATCTTTCATTTGGAATTGCGTAAAGGTCAACTGTAATGTACAGTGTCTACAAGGACCTTGTAAATCTGAAGCAGAAACCTAATGTTGAAAGATACTTTGTTTAGATATTTGGTATATCTGTAAACCTCAAAATATATAAGCACTCGTGAATAAAGCAAATGAACTGGTAGTAAATATATTTATATCAATAGGAAAGGCCTTCACAAATCTTGTTTATATTCTCCATTATAATACAGTAGAATACACAATCGAGTCTGTTCACATGCATTTCGTGAGCTAAAATATCTTGTTAGAAGCCAGAAGGCCTTCCTACTATTCACTCAATTGACGTTGGTCAATTTCCATAGATACATAACCAAGATCACTTGAATAAATCTCGATAGAATTGCTGAATAATTTACGGCATTTAACTTGGTCGTGCTTTCGAAGATGAGCACGACCAGAAGATAAAATTCGGCGAGATACGCATGCGCGAGGAGCAATTTAGCCAATAGAATGCGTTGGAATTGATATTTTAGTTGTGCTGGCCTGACGAGAGCACGACTAACGGGCGGGTTACCCATTAGTCGTGCTATTAACCTGCGGTCGGGTGAAACTACGCAATCATACCTTGAATTGGTTTAAAATCATGGCAAAATCACCGGATTTGAAGGGATTTCGCACTTAATAGATGACGCAAGTGTACGACGAATCATTTTTAAAATGTTGGGGGAATTTTTTTTTAAGACTAAAAAATTATTTTCTTTGAAAAAATTTTACTCGTGCTCAGCACGACTAGCACAACCTCTAGCTTCGCCACTGCCTATACATTTATATTATTACGGCTTCCTTGCATTGCAAACACTCAAATTTCAAGAAAAACGCGCTAAAATTATATCAATATTTTAATTTCATGCAAAAAAGTTGTTTTGAGAAACATTGGAAATGTTGAAGTTCATATTTATAATAAAAAAAGAGTATGTCATATTCCTCGCGGAAGCATCGCCATAGCCGACCGAAAAAAAATGTATATAGAAAATTACCTTATTCATGTGTACTATAAGAACAAAATATCGATAATTATGTGTGACGTTTCTAAGGGGGGGGGGTCTCCAGAGAAACGAACATATGACGTTTCTCATGGACAAAATCGATATGTGAGGCTTCCCTAAACAATTCGAATAGTCGAATACCAAGCAACAATAATCTTATATCAAACTTTTCCGCTCTTTTGTAGGAAATTTCGGATATCTGTTCGACTCTCGTGACGAGCCACCAAGGGCACCAAGTGAATGACATATCGAAATTACCAGCCATTGCAGATCTTTGTGAAATCCTAAAACAACTTTCAAGTATGTGGGATATATAGAGAAACATAATTGATGTTATTATGATAATGGTTACAAAAATATCTGAACATGAACGATAACCTGAAACTATTAGTCATTCATTAGATTGGACATAGTATGCTGGATATTTAGGGTCAGTTCACATGGTACCGAGTAATCTTGGGCTTCCGAGATATTGCATCAGTCCAGAGACGGATTTTGGGTGCAAAAACTTTTGGTGGCGGTGCCAAATGCCTCTGGGGGGGGGGGGTGCAAATCATTTCTGGGGGGGTACGCACCCCCCAGAAAATCTGTGCCTGCATCAGTCAATTCCAGCTGCGACCATCCCCCACCCGGACCGTGTGTGGCTAACTTGTCTCCACAACTATCCCCCCGGACTGTGTTACGCTTACTTGTCCCCACGGCCGGGCATTTGCAGCTGCGTGTTCACCCAGGGGCCGGGCATTTGTCAATGTCTTGTTATTATATACCTCCGGGCATTTGTCGCTCATGGAGAAAAGACCGCGGCCACAAATTTCCTTTGTCGTATGCCAAAATGGACGACTTTTAACTGAATATGTTAAACAAATTTTATGTTATATTATATTATTGTTGAATGTTGGTTTTCAAGTATTAATCAATGTTTAAGAATTTCCTTCAGTCCATATTATATATATTGTATTTTCAATGAAAAAACTTTCTGCAATAAAAGCAAGTGTGTCACAGCCTTTCGTCGACGTTTTCATCTGAAGTGAACACAATAGTTTTCCTTGTGTTTTTTTTAAATCCCCTGGGGGGCGGGGTTGGTCGCAGCTGGAATTGACTTATGCATAACTTGAGGGTGTTCAATGTCAAAGTTACTGTAGCTCTGTTTCACATGGCAAAATGTTATCTCGGGGGCCAAGGATATCTAAGAATAGAAACAAGTCTTAGGTTTGTCGAAGACTGCCCAAGTTTGACCTAAATTTAGAGTTTACCAAGTTAATTAATAACGGTGATTTGATTAACACTTCGAGAAAGACACGCGGGAGAGTGATTGTGGTTTCTATATTTGGGAGTTTTAAATAAAGTTTGTTCACTTTGATCAAATAATCTGTAGTTCCCATTAGTGAGGGACAACTAAATCTTTGTGACGAAAAGATGGTTGAAGGGGTACTTGAATGTCTTGAGAGAGAGGCACAATTTGAATTATGAAAAGAAGCGGTTCGAATTGTCCGTAGGAGACGCTGTGGCCATTACGTCAGAGGAGAAAACAAAAGAAAATGGCCGTTTGCAATCGTTCAATCAATCTATCCAGGTTGAGATGGACTAGACAAACAGGGAAAGGATTTCTGGAAAGGCCGATTCCGAGCACCTATATACTTCCTGGAGTTGGTGTGTGATAAGGCTGCAAAGGGGCAGGCAAGAAACCCATTAATCCAGAAGCAAAGGCATTTATTCGGAAACGAGTAGCAGCTGAAGTAGCAGTCGATTTTAGCTGAAGAAGAAGAAGATGCGCGAACAATTTATTCAAACATTTGAGAACGCTAACTATAGACTAATATTTATAACCAGACACAGTACTAAAATGCGGTGCCCGCTTACAAATAAAACTTTCGGCGTTTCCGCCTACATGCACAAGTAAATTAAAGTTGTATTTAGCACGCTGCATTCTCCTGTCGGCCGCCAGTTGGTCCGTACGTTAGGATCAACACTGCGTTCTAAATAAAGCCTTCAAAATAAAATATTTTGGGTTCAAAATACTATCAAAATGAGGAGAAAAGTGAGACGAATCCACTGGCATACGGCCGAAAACGAGAAAACCAACAATTCCGAAGTTATCAAGGATCAAACGGGCTGCATTTTTAATTAGTTTAATAATTTTGAGCGATTTGTCAACAATACAATTTCGCTTATTAAAACTGCACATTAAAACCTTCAAAAATATAATATTTTGGGCTCAAACTACTAACAAAATAAAGAGAAAAGTGAGACGAGTCCACTGGTATATGGCCGAAAAAGAGAAAACAACAGTACGAAAGTTATCAGGGTCAAATGTATTCGGCAT